TGCCACAGGAATGCTCTGTACACAATTACCTTTTCAAAGTGGTCCTGGGCTCTTTTATAAAGAAAACTGGAATTCTCTGTGAAGTTAATCCATTTGGGAAATGCTTCTGAGGAGTGGTGGCAAAGATACAGCCACATTTTTAGAAGTAATCCACATATTTGAGGTTTAACCACACAGATGATGTCTTTTAACATATTAAATGAGAAAAAAAATTATGACAAAGGCAAGCAGATAATTTTTTTTAAAACATTTTTTTAAAACTATTAAACAATTAAACATTTTTAATCACGATTTCCAACTCCATGAGAATTTTCTTGTTCTCTCTTGGTTTCTTTTGTTTGTTTTCTTGTTTTCAAGCTGCAACTGGGTACTATCTTGGCATGAAAATAAGTGCATCACTCACTGTCTCTAAATCCAAGTTTACCACATGCTGTGCTGAAAATTACCAGGGCCAAGCAGCAGTCCTTTTTAAAGGCAGTCATGTGGACCTAAGTTGTAGGAAGCCTCTCAGATTAAATGCTGATATATTTTTGTTGAAATATTAGCCATCAAAAAACAAACAAACAAACAAAAAGCCCACCAAAAAACAAACAAAAAAAACCCCCAAGCACCACACTAATTATTGGTTATTTTTGCTATTAGCAAAATAATCTGTGCTGCCCAATCCAAAACTAGGACTGAAAATATTGCTCAAAATAATCTTGAATGCAATTAAAGCCTAACAATATTTGGACAAACAGACTTTCTATTCAAGACTAATGAAGCAAAGTCCAGTACCGTGTTGTAAGCTGGAAATTCTAAATTCTGTATTGCCTATGTCAGCAATTTGCTGAGTGATCCTGAGGGCATTGCTCTATCTTAGCTCCCCATGACTCAGGACTAGGACCTGAGCTAAATGGAGCTCTCTCAGAAAGTGCTTTTAAGTATTATTGATCAAAAACTTTACAAAAATGACATTTGCATTCATTCATTCATACATTACAATCATATACTATATTCAAATGAATAAGATTTAACTTTTGACTTTCATTTTATCATGGCCGTTGTTAGTTCAGCCATATGCCCACTGTTCATATATTTCTTTTCAGAATCTTCAAAAGCCCACTTTGGTAGAAATGTGCTTTAACACACAAAAAAACGAAGTTACCAATTAAATGTAAGCTGGGCATCAAGCTGAGATTTTGAGGAAGTAAACTCCACCATTGCCAGTTCCATTGCTGACTTTACACTTTGATTCAGATATTGAAAAACTGCATTTTATCAGTCAAGATGACAAGCACATATTTCTTAAGAGATTTCAACCTTACAGATGAGATGATGTTACATATCTATAAGGACTTTCTCTGTACAGCTCTTAAACTGTTAAATAAAACAAAAAAAAGTCTGGTTTTGTAGTTGTTTGGTCTTAAAGTCTTGTTTTAAGATGAAATACCCCTCTGCCCTAGCCATGGAAACAAATCCCGGGGCAGGAGAGGGTCACTGTCATGCCCAGAGGTTCACAGAGACCCCCATCTCTCAAATGCTGCACCACTCAAATGCTTCCTCCTGACCCATAAAAAACAATTCACATCTTTTTAATTTTATTTTTGACCACAAACTTTTCACTTGAAAAGAGAACCTGGTTGTTCTTTGCTGCCTAATCTGTCTAGGGAGTCCTCCTTCACCTCACAGCATTTGGGCATCTTCAATTCTACTGCTCCTTCTTGGACAAACAGTATTTTGAAGAAGGCATGTCACCATCACAACAAATGTCACTTTTGCTCTGTGGCAGAACCAGTCACTGTCTTTGAATAATTCAGAGAGCAAAACCCATCTGCATGGGTGGATGTAATATTTTTTTCTGCTTGAAGCCTTTTACCAGCAAACGCACTTCCAGTTTAGCATCAGGACTACATGCAATTGTGGCAAGCTAAAGCAGCCAAAAAGCAGAAATACAAAAATGAATATAGCCAATGGTCCTCCATAACTAAAGAAACAGTACTCTGAAAAAAACCAAATTAAAAAATAGATTATTTTTGTCATTCAATTACAAGTGAATGCAGAAAAGCACCTGCCAAACATTCTCCATTTTGTCCCAAGCAATACATCACATACCTTTTGGTATTCTTTAAAAAACAAGTAAAGTGTTTTGATTCAAGTTATTGGGGCAGAGAGACAATGCCATGTTTTGAAATTCCTTTCAAGACTTCCAGAAAGTACTGGAAGCTCCCCATATTTACAGAAGCAGCTGTGAGTTAGAGAAATGAAACTACACGAATCTGTATTGTAATCTCAAGGCTATAAATACTTTTATTCATTATTATTTTTTAACCCACTTTCTGAAACAAAGGTCTCCTAGAGATCAGTGGAAAAAGAAACAGACTGGGGAGATCAAAGAGTCTAAGGCTGTAAGCAGCAAGCTCTTAAAATAAAGGAAAAGAGACGCTAAACACATATATTTGACAACAAAAAGCAGTGTATCCTTCCTTTATGTGCTGGTTTCACTGCATTATCCCTTTGTCAAATGCATTTTTAGCACTGGGTATAACAAACCTCCCTGGCCCACAGAAACATGACAGACCTAAAGCTAAAGCTCATGTGAAAGGTGTTGATGGTATTTCTAATAGCTTCCAAAAAGCTTGGAGGCAGTGCAAACACTGTTTTTGCAGCAATCTGTAACCAATAAAGAGCAGCTTCTTCTGACAGAACATGAAATGTGCCCTCATAACACCTTATCCCCAACACACCTCATCTCTGCAGTATTTCAGAGATCATCTTTTGGAGAAGCACCCGCGGTCTTCAACAGATGTTCTTGAACCAATGGCATATTAAATCCCCTCAACATTTATAGGAGAGATAGCCTGAAGATAAATATTTTATGTTCCATTTCCTCCCCTTCTGTGTTTGCCAAAGATTTATTGAACACACAGGCCTACCTGACACTTCCTATGCACTAATTTGTAGCAGAAGAGCATTGTAGTACATTTACATAAACAGAAACAACCTGATAACAGAAGCTGCTACAAGAACTTGAAAGCTGAAAAAGCAACACAGAAGAATATAAAGCACACCATCGTTTTAGTTAGGTAAAGATCCACTTAAACAAGGGGTTTACATAATTTAATTCAAAGGAACCCGCAGTTTTATTTTCCCAAAGGTATACCACAAAGGAGTTACTTGTGTAGAAATCTCAATTACTGAAACGGGAATATATCACCATTCCAATGTGTCATCAGATCTGTTCTTCACAACAGTGGAAAACTTGCAGTGGTGCATTTGATAAAATTAGAGTGAGGCAGTCTCTGTGTGTGTGCTACTAAGATAAAACCCTCAGTGGTAAATCAGAATCATTACCATGCTTGGTGCTTTGCAGCTCAAGATACTCACAAAATTTTTTTCAGCCCCCTAAGCACTATACCATATTTACTTTTAAGGATAGTTTTACTTTAAAATCACTTTTGTTTGTAAATTACATTAAGCAATCCTATTATTTTACAGTGATAACATTTTCCAAAAGTCTACAGGCAAAAATTTCATCCAGTAACTCTGCTTTAATTAAGAGGTATGTTAACACATCTTAAAGTCCTTTCCCTGGTGTTAGCTACATCTTTGTAGCTATAAGGCATTTGAGGACGGGAGCAAAGCAGAAGCCTTACATGCCACTTTCTAAATGTGAAACACGAATTCTGTTCCAAAAACAGAGGTCCAAGAGCAATGATGCTGCTCCGGCAAACATCTGTGTGGCGGCTTTGCACTGCCAACAGCAAAAGTGAGATGCTTTTCAACACATACATTTATTACTTTTGAAGGTCAAACATTTTATCAGTAAAATACACAAACTGGCCAGTCTGGTAAAATATTTTAAATTGGTTCAGTTCAGTTCAGTTTATTCTGAGAATGTTTTCCATTATTAACTTTCATCAATCTCTTCCTCTCCAGTATTTCTTAAGAACCAAACAAAACTGCTGTCTGATAACACAGAAACAATTAGACACAAGCAGAGGGCCAAAAATCTTTAAAAAGGCCATGCCTCAATTTTTGAAGATGGACAAGCAAAATGAGACATGGTGCTTTCCACTGCACACAGCTCATCTATCATAGTGATACTCTCTACTTTCCTTAATTACAGACAGTTTTCACTTAGTGGTAAAAATACTAATTTAAAGATTTAATTAGTGAATATTTTGGATCGTCTGAATATTAGCCATTATACTTTCCCACAATGAAGCCAGCCATTGTCAATGTAACATTTTCTAGTACATAAGATTAAAAATAGGACTTACTCAAATGCAAAATAGGGCAGACATTTGACCTGATATTCTTTAGTTCCCTCTTCTACAAGAAAGTTAGTTATCTTGTCTCAAAAACTTAGTAGGGAAACAAGTTCTTTAAGCATTTGCCTGTATTTGAATAAGATGGCTGATAAAACATTTTAGATAAACTGGAAAATCCAAGCTATTTATTAGGGATCCTCTATATGAGTATCTCTTATAGACACATTGCAACCCAATCATCTTGGTTCCTTAAGAACTCTGGTCACCCAAATAATCCTTATTTCAAGGAAAAATAAACACATTATGTGCCAGATTTTAGACATTAATTTTTTACAATAGATTCAAAGGGGCCCTCTAAAATGAATATGTGTGCTGATCCTGTACCAAGCATTGTTATGGCTATAAATTTGTGTTCTACCCAATGCCTTGTGTTCTCTCTCTGCATCACAAGTGTCTTCTATATACAAGGACACACTTCTGAATCTTAGGAATTCAGTGTCATTTTTTCATTAGTAAGTATGGCAATAAAATCTAAACCTATGCTTTTATTTGGCATTGTTATTGCGGTGTTTCAATAATGTTAGAAATAATGCGAGGGCTCCTCTGTGATTTGGTTATTTCATAGGACAAAAATTATTTCTAAAATACTTTCTAAAAACGTGATAATTTTCCTCTAAGCAGAAGTTGAGAGAGCTATGTTATTTTCTTAGATGATAAAAATTAGGTTTTCTTGGAGGTTTTCCTCACCTTTTCTGTCTGGTTTGAGGTTCCGATCCACTGGTGGTGGCTCACATTCTGCAGCAGGTACCGACCGTCTGGGAGGGGTCTTTGGGCTGGACCTGAAACCCATGTGAGCAGGAGGAGGGACTTGCATTCCAAACAATGGAAAATCAAACGTGCCAGGTATCATTGGTACATAGTTTGTTTCCTGGATGGGTTCAGTGAAGCTGCTGGAATGCTGTCGTGGAGGAGAGTTGGGATTCATTGGGACATAATTTTCATCTAGTTCTTCACTTGAAACACTTCCCATTGTCAACATGCTTCTGTTTTTCTAGAATTAACATATATTTCCTTTAACAAAATAAGTTATGCAATCAGCTGTGAATCATATGAGTCTTTTAACCTAATCTACTCAGATTAATGTATTCTATAGAAAGTGAAAAATGACAAACACTGCACAGCTTGCTTTCTTACACAGGAACAAAGAGCATTCAAGCACTGTCACTGTTGCCTCTCATCAGATCAAGTCATACTTACAAAGTGGTTATGGAAGCCCTCCAATGAATTAGATCTGTCATTCGGAAACGTTCGTGGAATATCATAACAATCTTGAGAACTAATTTCTGAAGAAACAAGAAGAGAAAGTGGCTATTTATCATCCCTGTTCCTGTAACTTGACACAGGCATCCAGAGTCTATTGTTATTTACTGTCTGCTTCTGAGAGTACACAAACACACATCGTGAAGCTGTGGCCCCTAGATATACCTATATTTGAAAGGACTGTGTTCACAAACAACCTTAGCACTCATCAGTTACAACTTGAAGCACTCACAGTGGCATTTTTCCATGGCAAGAAAAGAGAAATGAATTTTTGCTTTTAAAGAAACAGCAGAATCTCTTGTTTAATTGAGCATGTGTAAGAACTTAGTGCAATCAGTGAGAATCTGGGCCCTCATGAAAAACCTAGTCTAAAATAAACAAACAACAGATGTCGTTTAACATCTGGAAAAAGGTTTTCTGACTGATGTCCTTTGCTTGGAAAGTGTTGATTCAACAGGATTCCATCTGTTACAGGAACAGGTGAATCCCTTCTCCCCAGTGTGGTCTCCAGGGGCTTTCAGTTGGAGTGGACTGCTGCAAAAGCAAAGATCGCTCCCTTTTCAGAGTCCTGGCTCTTGGCAGTCCCACTAAGCAGGTCCTCAGCTCTGTGGCTGGTTCTTTGCCAGACAGTGGTCTTTGTGACGCTCCTGGCTCCCAGGTGCTGCTCATCCATGCATGCAGCAGGCTGCTTTACCCTGTGGCAGGGATGCCCCTCCTCATGACGCCAGCACAGAAACTAGGTAAAAACTGGATTTATCTCCATCTTGCCCTGAAAAACCTTTGAATTTTTTTAAGATTTTCACCACAGAGGAAAGATAAACAATTCTGCTCTTAAGTACCAAATTTAAACAATGTTTTCAGAAAGACTAATTTTCTTGAGGCAGACAATCTCAGATTCAGTATAGGAATACTCACCTATAAACTTAGCAAAATGAGTGTGGTGGATTTACATGGGAGAAAATACTACATGAGAGAAAATAAGCAAAGTAAACAAGGATCCTTCGTAGTGTTCATTTGTAATTTTAAAACACTAACAATCACCTATATTTTATGCTCAGTCTACAAAATGAATGACAAATAGGACAATAGTATCTGAGCAATTGCATGATCCCATCTATTCTGTATACTGCCTCCTCTAAAAGCCTTTTATTCATCCCTCATTTCAAACAATTCTCCTTTAAAATCATCTGTAACATAAATATTGACTTACACAAATAAAAAATTTCACTTTAAATACAACACTGTAATACCCACCTGCTTCAGAAATCTGAAAGTGAACCCTTTGCCCAAGAGTGGTTAACAAAACAATACACAGGACAGCACATCTGGAGTAGCAACATTTAGGTGGCCACAAGGAACAACTTTAATTTACTAAAAGACTGCAGTAAGCATATCTATCACATGGACAGAAAGAAAGGCTGGTGGCAATGATCATCAAATCAGGATTTATCTCAAAGCTCTGGGTATACACCACATCCTACTGATCTTCATGAAACAATTTCAGCTTCTGCAGATTGCACCACACTTCACTAAGCTCACTTTGGTCATCCTGAAAGACTGATAATGGTAGTATTGAATTGAGTTATATGAGCTTATTACCAAATAAATATGTCTAGTTCTTCAAATATTTTTAGCCAAGGCTGAATGCCACAGTGCAATATCCATCCCTTATGGATGTTCTGTGCTTTGCTGTTTTGATGGCTTCCTTTAAAAATCTCTGTTCCTCTTTCTAATAGATTTTAAATATAGTGAACACAGACCACTTTGTGAGGGGCTAAACACTTGTTCCTACAGGCTAGAAATGCCCGCCCCTCACATTATTCAGCCCATTCGTATCATTCAGATCACATAGCTCAAGACAAAAATTCTGCAGGATAAAGCACGGAATGCTGACCTTTCCGGAAGACATTCAGATCTCCTGTTGAAATGGTGTTACTGCGCAAGGGTGGCACTCCTGCAGCAGGGATGCAGTAACTGCTGTCAGTGTCTGAAGCAGTGCGACTGATGCTACAGGTTTCCACAGGAGACCGATCCGCTGCCTGGTGAGGTTTGGGTGGCCGAGGTGGAGGGATGTCTGGAATAGTCTCCAGTTTTGAAGTCTGAGACAATGTTCCCTCTGGGAAAGTTCGTGGGATCTGATAAGTACCTCCAGGGGTGGGGGGAATATCATAGCTAATGGAGATGTGCCTCATTTGTACGTCTAATGACGTTACTGACGGGGTATTGAAAACATGTTGCTCTCCTTCGCCGTCAGTTCCAGATGGAGATGTTGCCTTTGGCAAAACATCCTGGGAGTAATTCCTAGGCAGGTTGTACAGGCTGGAGTCCGCCAGTGTCAGCGTGGAGCGGGAAGATGGGGAATCGTAGACTCCCTGCTGCGGGAAGAAGCCGTTCATAGTGTGCTTGCTCCCTGATACAGCAGGGTTTTTGTGGGAAGGCAGGTTATCATTGCAGTCTGTTTCTGAAGAGCTGGATTTTGCAGAGTCAGCAAGAGATCTACATGTGAGATTGTGAGATTAGAACGTTGATGAACACACAGAAAAACAAACATTGCAAATCATAAACACATTTATCATGTAACCAAGTGAAAAGTCTAACAGTGCCTTCCAATTTTTTTATTTTCATGTTTTTTAAAATGAGATGCAGGAACTCAATTATTAAACAAACAGAACTACCTAGGCATCCTAAGTAACTACATTCATACAAATTCATTCATGTGAAATATATAGCACAACTGTGGAGCTTTACCAACAGCTTCAAAACAGGTTGATGTTTCATAAAGCAAGTGATTTTCAGGATGCCAGTTTGAAGCCAAGTTTGGGGGCTGGAGGTTTTTTGATCATTTTTTAAACCCATGCTGCAAACTAGCAACACTTTATTGGCACTGTTAAAGGTAAAAATAAGATGCTCAATTCTTGGATTTACAGTACTTGCTCATTATAATCATTATGAAAAAAATGTTAAGAGAAAAAATATGACTGCTTGTAACCCCCCTAAATGGGTGCCTGAAGTTATACTGACTATATCAAACCCATTTGAAATATGTAAGGAAAAAAAAATAAGAGATACAATCATAAATATGAGGAAAATAGTATGTTCTTTGAGGGGAAAAAATCCATAGGTTGCATGTGCATCAGAGAGCTTTTGTCTTGAATGCAAATGAAGGCACTGTTGTTAGATAAAGCTGCAAAGCAGTTTACTTTTGATTTCTTAGGAAATTTTTTTACGAGAACAGCACTCATTAGTACTGGTACTAACCACTACCAGTAAACTTACAGGGAAAGTAACTACATTACAATAATTTGATTTCCTTTCTAAACCTCTCCATTTACTGTGCTCCAGGCAGAGAAATTCTATTATCAGCCTGGCTCCTTGCTTAAATGAAAGTAAAAACAGTGGCAAAATACTAACACTGGAGATGTCAGTAGTTTAGTTAAGGAAGGCCATACACATTTTGATCAAACATATCATATTTCCTATTTTCATTACCTCAATACCATACCATTGTGTTAATTTATGCATGCATATGTAAATATTTCAGCATGCATGTGTATCAATGAATACCTGCAATATAATTCTTAGTAAGCTCTATTAAGCAATTGGACCACAAAGTTCCAAAAGTTTTGAGCAATAAAATACATAAAGTACACCCACTACCATAAGAAGCATTTTCCCCCTTATTTAACAGGCTCTGCACCTTAAAGTGATCACAACCAATATTTATTATTCACATTTCATTTGTCATTAAGTTTGTACAAAAATTTCTTAAGGGTCAGCTGGATTTACCTCCCAGAGTTCTGGCAACCTGAGGAAAAAGGACTCCAGTTAAGCTATTAATTTAGGTTCCCTCTCCAGTCATGAGAGTAATGGAGACTGTGTGAAACACAATCTGTTCTTAGACATCCATCTAAACCCGATGAATTACCCCCGAAATGCCTCTCTGCCAGCTATCAGGGGAACCAACATGATCAGCTTGGAATAGACATCTGCACTCAAGAGAAATGTCATTCACCTCACCTACTGGTTTTTCTTCTGTTTAACAGCAAAGATAGAATCTTCCATCAGGACAAGAGGCTTATGTCAGCTCTCATTCCAATTTCATCACCTTTTCCTATCAGCTTATTCTTATTGCTTTAGCATTTTTTCCATTAGAAGAAGTATAGTTATTTTGCTCTGGTTACTATCTTAAATATAGATTTCAGTTTCTGTCACTGGTCAGAACTGGTTTCTAGGTAACTCTGAACTTTAATCTGCATTTAGTTTAATTGAAAAAAGAAGATAATTTTCTCATTATTTGTTCTTCGCATAACCAAGGAAGTAAAACTTCCTACATTTCTCATTATGCTGGCCATGAATATATATTTCTCTTGTTTCTTAGCAGTTGCATCAGAGCTCTTTGCCTCAGAGCTTCAAAAATTCATGAACCACTAGAAGTTTAAAACACTTGCAAAATATAGAGCACATAGGACAGAAGGAAGCACATGAGGTTACAGGGTGCATAACAGATTGTAAACACTGAGCTCAGGCCCTGCTGCAGCCCTTCCTCTTTATTCAAAGGATTGATTCAAGAGTGCCTCACTTTCTAGATGTACTCTCCTAGTTCTATGATACCCACTTAGACCAAACTCCCAGAAAAGGTCAAGCATTTTTCAAATATGGCAAGGATTGGGATCTTTAAATTTTATACTATAAAAATAAAGTGGGCAGTCTACAGAAGTTGGACATGGAAAATCAATTGCAGAACCAAAGTTATTAGTTCCAGTCACTAGGATATACTTTAAAAGGAAAAAAATTCTAAAACTACAGGAATAAAACATAAACACTACATTTATCTCACAAAAACATGGAGGAATATATAACCAAAGCTCAAAAAGAAACAACAGCATATTTACAATGCCAGAGCCTAAGGATTACCCATGAAATGCAAGAAACAAATGCTATCCTTTTTAAATACAGGAGTTTTTCTGGGTCTAAGTGAATGATGCTTCTTCTTTCTTGACCACAAGCACTTGTGCAAACAGAAGGCTTTCAAAAACCATGATACGTGAGGTAGCCAGGTCTGTCATTTGCTTGGCTGATGGCAACAGCTTACATTTCTTATTACAAGAGGGCATTTCTGATTTAATTCACAATTTTGAAAGTAATCTTTTGGAATCAACATCTTAGTCTACTGAAATAGTTTTCAAAATATGAATGGGTTGTAAGCAATCTGATTTTGTACAACTGAAAGTTTGAAGACACTGTGAAACAAAGAAAGCAGTTTATGCCAAAATGAAGCCAGAGAATTCAGCCTCAGAATTTTAACTATTTTTAAAAGTCAGTATTAACCACTGATCATGATAAGAACACCATATATAATTCTGAAAATGTAGAGTGCATACTTGAGTGCACAGGAGGAGACTGTATTCCTGTCTGGTGTTTTGGTTTTTTTACTTACTTCTGTACTTCAGGAATTTTATTTTTTTCCCTTTAGTACAGCTCAATAATAAAAAAAAAAAAAAATAATTGGCTTAAATATTCCATTAAATGGTTATTATGGTAAGTATTAAAGGGTTTTTACACCACCATTTAAAATAATGGCAAAGCTGGATGTAACACAATTATAATTCCTCACTTTATTAGCAGAGGATGCCTATGACATGAATTCAGTGTTATCACACGTGTGCATCACATATGTGCAAATTATGGTGAGTGGCCAAACTACCCCTTACTCAGTGCTAGGACTGGCCATTTCCTTCCACATACCAAGAAAAGAAAACTGTCCAGGCTGTTGAGCTACAAGGACTGGACATTAAGATGCATGCAGAGGAGGTGGGGCAGTGAGGCAAGGGGAGCCCAGTAAAAAGCCAGCCTCCACGCTCTAAAATCCACTTGTTGACAGAGACCAAGGAAAAAGGTATATCAAGTGTTTTAGACTGAGGGGTAATAAACTCATTTTTGAAAATAAAGTATTCAGGCTGGCTTGACCACTCATTCTTTTCAGCTGATTCTTTTCCCATCCACAGGATCAATATGACTGATTAAACAGAATATTATAAACAAAATGGCAGCAAAACTGCTCTTGTGTGCCAGTAATCTGGGACAGCAACAGCAAACATAGAAAAAACAGGATAAATAACATCCAGACCTCTTTTCAGAAAATGGAAGCAAAAGTTATATAGTTTTTCTGTTAAAACTCACGGAACACCATGCAAGATGAGTCTCAAACAAACAATATTTTCAGGCAAGTTAATGGCTCTGTGATTAATTTCTCACACGTGTTCCAAGAATGGCTACTATTCACTCACTGCAGTGGAATCTTTTTACTTTCAAAGTCTTCTAATAGCAGGTATTCCTGCCCTTCTTCTGAGAGAAAAGGTGACTCTTGGCTGGTTCATACACAGTAGGAAAGATGAGGAAGACAGCATTTAGTATTTCAGTACACCTATCAAATGAGCCAGAACAATAAGGGATTTGGAAGCAATGTTTGGCTGCGTTTTCTTATCTACGATCCAAATACAACCTTAAAATTTCCCTAAATGCTACAGTGAAACAATGCTCTTTCTTAAGTCAGCAGTGATCAGAGCATGAAACTATTTTAGACCGCAGGTGATAGTTACAGTTGCAATTGCTGCGTACAAGACATTCTCACAACAGCATGTGGTCACTCCATGACACTGTAATGGAACATTTAATAATTATTTTCTAGGTCTGAAACATTACAATTCTCCAAAATCCCAAAGAGGTGACTCAGATACATCTAGGTTTCACAGTGACCTATCTCACCCAGAAAAGAACCTCAAAACCTTGAAATAAAATTCAGTGGTTTCCAGGTTACCTGTAAAGTAACATGCAGAATCAGAATAGAAAATGTTCCCTCTGAATATTGGTAATTTTTAAGTCTAAAGGGAAAACATTTAAGTAACAGTAGCTGCCTGCTTAATTACAGCTATTAAACCTTACACTTTACACTAAGTCTGTATGAAATACCCAGATAAATTGTTCCAAGCCTGGAAAATAGGAGAATGATGCAGCCATTTAATGTTTTTTCCTTGCCTGTAAGGATATGGATTGGGGTAGAGTGCACTCTTAGCAATGTGCTACCGAGATACACAAAGCTCTCATTCCATAGGAAAATGTCTATATGCTCTATACTCTGTCCCAAATCCAGCAGCTTACCTCCTTTACCAGAGATAAAACATAGGCAGTCCTTTTAGGTGGAACTGAAAGTCCAGCACAATTGTTATTCTGAATTTTCATGATCACAGCCTTTTTAATGAAAGGACACAGCTTTTTAGTTACTTAGTTTATTGAGAAAATAAACTACACTCATATAATCTCCAATGTCAATGTCTTCAGCCATTCTTATAAAACCATCATTTATTTAAACAATCTCTACACTCCCAAAGATTTTGTTCTGTTCTTTCAGTTCACTAGGTATTTTATTGCCACTGGACCTTTTGCTTTCCCCAGTACCTTCTCTCCTGTGTCACCAGTGACTTCCTTGAGAAATTTTGCAGGTTTATCATGGACTCCATACTTTTTGTGGCTCCTTCTATGGTCTCCTTAGCCTCTACTTAACCCACACAACTATGGGAGTCAGGTCAGAAACTCAATTACACATCCCAACCTTCATAATTCCTAAAAACACCTTCACGTTGCAGTGGTAAAACTCTGCTCTGAGCCTGTCCCTCACTGAAGCAAATGGGCACTCAGACACATTTCTGATAAGCTAGGATTGCTGAAATCCAAGTCAATTCCTCTGCCAAGCTGTTCTGGAAGTGATACCAAACTTAAAAGCTTTTGGCAGGAACACTGACATTCCTCTTCGATACTATCAGCTTCTAAACATTACTGAACACTGAAACCTTCAGCACTGGGTTTCCCCTTCCCCTGCAGGAGGTTCTGGGACATTCCATGCTGCCTGTAACCTGCATGTTCCATACTCTGGAGGAACTTTAGGCTCATTCCCTTGTTTTATAAGGAAGACTGTAAAGGGTAGATACTTTTCTACCACATATTCATCAGTAAATGAAGCAGGAAACTCCTCAAGCACAACAGAGCAAGATAAAAATGCCAAGGGAGGGCAGAGCAGATGGCACAGGTGAAACTGGCAGGGCATCAAGGTGTTGATGCAGAAGGCACTGCCACTAAAAGGTATGGCCCCAAGGAAGCATGTGAAATAGTCATGAAAGCACTCTCAAAGGAAGCTTTCTTCAACCTTCCATGTACTTGTCTGTAATTACAAAAATAATATGACATTAATTTTTCTGTAAATATCCCAGCAGATTTTATTTGAAATTACTGCAGCAAAGAAGCTTGCCAGAGGGATTTATAAGGTTCTCCTACAGAATGTTTAAGGTCGAAAGGGATGTCTGGACATTATCTGCTCAGCTTTTCCAATACCTCTAAGCAAACCCTTCAAAATCAGGAGAGGCTCCTCAGGAGCTTGTCCAGTCAAGCTCATTTTTGGTTCTTTTAGATAGCTTTTTTTAAAAGAGGACAGAGACTCCAGCATGTCACTGGGCAGCCTGCTCTAGGAAAGGCCACCATGATCCATTCTGACAAACCACAGTGATATTTCCCAGGTAGCTACTATGAATATCATATCCTCTTATGCAGGAGGTGCTGTGGATTTATTTAAGTTAGAAGTAACAGGTGGAGAAATAAATAGAGATAGAATTCTGTAGAAGTTCTAAATTTTTCCTTCAAATTTCCTATTGCACACTTCTCCAGAGAACTGACTGTGTAGGCACTCTTTATTCAGTAAAAAATAAAGCTTATTTGACTTTCCTTTTAAGTATCTGTTATTTGGAAAAAGCTGAAATTCAGGATATGGAAACTGAGCGGTTTCAGCCTCTGCATTCTTAGTTATCATAAAATAATTGGGTTTTCTTCTTGTTTGAGAGTCTGAACCATGCTAGTAATAGTAAACAAATGCCACTTGAAGATCACTTTACTCAGTGATGTGGTAACCTGGCAGGTGATAATAAAACCAGCATGTTTTCTAAACCCCTTCCATGAAAGCTTTAACTGGCAAAACTGGAGAACCAAACACCAGGAGGGAGAATGGCTAAATTCCTCCAGCTTTTTCTAGTACTAAACTGGACGAAGCACACCAGATTGTGGCTAAAGAAAGGGTATTTTGTGCCATGCATCACTCCAAGCTCCAATGGAACGCTTGGATTGCTGCATCACTGTGATACTTCATGTTGGCAATTGCTGTCAACACTTTTGGAGATTGCAATATACCACTGACCAAACAACTCACTATCACAGCAAAAGGTTTAATACATGTAATGAAAAGAATGAAAAGTTACAGGCAGCTTCCCTGTGTAGAAATGCGCCTGCAAATGTTCAATGTCTCGGTAATAAAAATTGCATTCAGCACAAACATTCTTGGTCTGTAATACAAATAAAGTGTTATTAAGAAACAAAAGTCACTTACTTCATAGGTTCAGGTTTTTTACTTTGACAGTTTATTAGCAGTAAGTAGTCTTGAGGATCTTCTTGACCAGAGGAAGACTCCAGAGGGGGGACGTTAATAAGCTGATAAGGAGAAGGAAGGGAAGATTCTGCTTGCATGGAAGGCGGTGAAGTGTTGATAGGCAAGGGTAACTCAGCAGATGGTTGTAAAGAACTAACTGATGGCTTCACAGCATCTGCAAACACAGAAGCAAAGATTTCTTTAAACAGTGAAGAAATAGTTCTTCAACAGTAAGAAAAGAAAATTATTAACACAGGATGGAAAAAATCTCAGATTTTAGTTCAAATTTGTTAAATTGGACATGAGAACATCTGGGTGTTAACGTTTGTTTCAGGGTATTTACATTTACATATCAATCTTTATCTTTTCAAACTGCAATCAATTTCTTAAGTAAGCCTTGGAAACAGAGGTTCTGCCTTATTTAAAGACTTATTTAACCTGCTTTCTGGCCACAGAAAGAACAAATATGTTGACAGCTGCAGTAATGCAGCTAAAAACACATATCTGTTTTAATCAAGAGCAGTCAAAAGCTTGTAAATTATTACTTGAACATGGCAACCTGAGTCAGCACTTGCAAGTATTCATTCCTTTTTGACCAAGGTCACTTCAATGTTTGAGATTAGTCACCAGGCAAGACCTGGCCACTCTCAATATCTGAAAATCAACAGGAAAGTTACTGCTTTGGCAAAGGAAGATTTTTTACAACTACAAAAATAATGCAAAGGTACAACAGGTAACATGTTCCACTAAGCCCCCTGATTACATATCCTAATTTTTTATTGTTGTGCAATAAATGAATGGGTTGGGTTTGGTTTGGTTTTGATTTCCTTTCCTTGTTTTGTTTTGGCTTAGTTTGGATTTCTTTTGGAGTGGGGGGAGAGGAGATGTTGCCCTGTGGTTTTCTTTTTTTAAAAAATAACCTTATCTTTATAATTCTTATTCACTTCCTATCCATGTATATTCTAAAGTAACTTCTCTTTTCCTTCCAAATACATATATCCAGACTATTAAATTATCTGGGAGACTAGAAAACATCAACATGATCAAACATTAAACAATTATTTGGCTTTTTCATTGTTTTAATGACATTGACTAAGAACAACAAAATTAAGCAAACTATTTCCTAATTATCAAGGCTTACTTGCAGCTCATTGTACATTCCAATTTGTACATCCCAAAAATGGATGCTGACTATTAGCATTGTTTAAATGAACATGTTATTATCCAATGCTCCTGCTCCTATCAGCCTTACAGGCCAGCTATGCACTACAAAGTAGCTTCATTCAGCTTCTGCTTCTCGGGACTACCCTGGGAAAAAAGAGATGAGCAGCCCAAAACACAGCCCTCCTGCTTCCAGTTCTGTGTACACCACGTACAAGTGATTTAGACATGGAAATAGAAATAGCAGCACTTGTTTTGAACTCCCACGGCATCTAAACAGGCTCAGAAATTAAATCCCACCACACCCATGTGGTTGGAAGAAGTCTAGGTGTATGAAAATTCCTCAACTCAACCTACCTGAAAAGGTAGGATAGCCTAAAAAGTTATTATGAAGGGTTGTGGCTGACCTATTCATCAAACTAATTAGCAGAAGAAAGAAAAAAAACAGACTGTATCAAGGGGTCACACACATAAAAATAAATTTATGCACCCAGATCAGATAAATAATAGTATAGAGATGTTTTTAATTCATAAAATCTCTATACATTACATTTCTTGAAACACATATTCCTAAAACACGTCCTATGGTTTAGAAAAAGGTGGGGGGGGGGGGGGGGGGGGAAGGTAAAATTAATTACATTAATTGTTACCTGAAAACTGCTAATTAAAATAGCCAATATTTACTTAAATACCCTTATCTTTACAATTCCTATGCACTTCCTATTTATTTGTATTCTAGAGCGACTTTTTTTTTTTCTTTCCAATACAACAGTACTTGGATGCAAAAGCTACTAAAAAAGTAGTTTATTTTCTACATGCTTAAACATAAAACATGAACAATTTTCTATCATTTAGGAAATTCAAGAGCTTGAAGGAGCCTCTTTGAGGCACCTACTAATGTTTCTTGATTCCCCTGATGCAGGGGTTCAACAGCAAGAACAGAGATGTGCCTGAATGGACCCTACCAGGAATGTACTGTTTGTACTTTCTGGAAAAGTGGCAGTGGGAGAAAGGACAAGCAGCTCTCTGCCCTGTTCCCTGCAGAACTGAAGAATAGAAGTAAATGTATGCACCAGTAAGAGTGGCGAAGAAAAGTTTCCTGTCAAATACATCATTTTTTGACCACACTTAGAGATGAGATCCTCAAGAGCTTCCCGGTGCCTCAGTGCCCACCCCATTCCTGGGCCTGGCGGTGCACAACCTTCATGTCATTGGAACTGCTCAGTGTCAAGTTCACAGGAGGAGAAAAAAAAAATCAAACAGGATATCCCTGGGGCTTCCAGGGAAGACTGGTGTGTCAGTCAGCACTCATGCAGTCAGGAGAGTACAAGTACACAGTAAGATGCCTATGTGATCTGATGCAATTAAACAGACCATGCACTAGCATTCCCAGGAAGAGTGGCAAAACTCAAGGGTGACTTTCCAGGGAAAAATAAAATAATTGATTTTGAAAGAGGACCAATGTATCCACAAAGTCTGATGTACTGCTCCAGCTTCTGGGATATCCCAAGACAGAGGCTGCTTCCAACAGCCTCTGCTGACCTACCCTCTGACACACTGTTCTCTGAATTTCTCCTATTTATTTGAGTGCCTTTATATTTTTGACCTTTACTACCATCCTGTGGTAGTGAGGTCCACACGTTACTACACATGACATGAAAACTCACTTCCTTTTAAACATGATATATTCACTTGAAATATTTCAGCTCCCATCTTCAAAGAAAATGTGAACAATTACCTCCTACTCATAATTCCCATTCCCAACTTTACACAACTTTGTCATAGTTTTTACTGAGTTGGTACTCCTTAATTTTTCCTGGTGCAGAAGCCATTTCATTGCACATCTGGTTTCCCTTTACCCTCACTTTTCCTAGCTCTGCTACTTTTTCTTTCCGGAGAAGAGAAACTATTGCACACAAAGCACACCAAAAAAAAGTCTAGGACACACTGATTTATGAAGACATAACAGTGATTCATTCCATTCCTTTCCTAACCTTTCCCTTTCAATTGTTACTGAATATTCAAGGCAATGCTGTCTGGGAGCTTTATGATCTGCTCTCTGAGCAAGGATTTGGAGCCCATTAATGTTAATGGATCATTAGGGACACTTTCCTTCTGATGAGTTGTCTCATTTCTTTTGACACAGATAATACTTGATAAAATCCCTGATCCTCCCACAGATCTGTGTGTGGTTTGTTTGAGATTGGTGTTTGCGTGGTTTGGTTGAGGTTTGTTTGGTTTTTTCAGCATATAGAGCATTAACTATTAAAATACCAACTTTCTGATCTGAAATCCATCCTCATACAGGCATTTTGTATGTGTTACATAGTGTGGGCTAATGCCAGATTGAAAGATCTAATAAATTTGATCTAAAGCACTTCAGATTAGCTTTATGCATTGATGACATTTCAAATTTGACTACAAGGGAAGAAGTAATGTTAAAACTTTCATCAGTGAGCAAATGAATGCTCTTTGCATATCTGCACCCTCTCAAATATTCTCTTCAGCCCAGTACTCCTGAAGCTGATATGAAGGAAAGTTGCTCTTCCAGTAGTCATTTAGGATTTCAAAGAATACAATCATCAACTTGCTCGACTTTGGACTAGCAGATTTTTAGGGAAGGGGTCATCTGCACACCAAAGAGTGTTGTAAGTCATTTGGTTTGTTCCCAGAGCTCAGACACTCAGACTGCTTTGAAATAACTGGGAGCTGGAAAAGCAGCCAGAAAATTTAACATGCAAATGAGTCTAACAAGAAACCTATTTTGTTTTTATAATTCCTGCATTCAGTACAGCTAGAACAATCAGCTCTCTCAAAACAGGGCAAGAGTTTTATCTTTTCTCAGTTGGCTTGTTATGAGTAGTTACATGAAGCCTATGAGTAGGCTTCATTTTCACTAGAATTTATACTTTTTTCTTCATAAACATTTTCATATCTTGTAAAATTTATGAGGTAAAAAGAGCATTTTCTGAACAAGAATAGCAAAAGGCTCCACTTTCTTCCTTCTTAAATGTATAAAGTTACTTTATTCCACACGTTCCTAGGTATCTTGCTCTGTGTACAACCTAGAAAATCTGCATGTGGGAGTTTCTATTTAGGATTGGGTTTATATTTTGGTGTTTTTTGTTTTTTAATGAAAGCAAAAATTAAATTGTTTTCTACACTATGATGTACAGCCTCTTAATACTCTAATTATGCAAAAACTTGAAATGCTCTCATAGTGAACAAAACACAGAGGCCTCATTACAGCACGCATTTCTTTAAATGTCAAAATTGCAATCAAAGTAAGAAAATGCATTCTTTGCACATTGTAGGTAGAAATACGAAAACAGAAATGGGATTTTTCCATTACAACAGTGAATCAGAACAGATGTGCAATGGCATGATTCTTCCATTCTTCTGGATGTTTTGTTCCATCCATTTACTATAATGCATGTGTTATTAAAATAACCAGTAGTCAACAAAATATCAGAGCAATAACCTTGTCCAAAAATTCACAGATACAATAGCAAGAACCATAATTTTAAAAAATCCACCAAATAAAAACTTCATAACTACACCTGAAGCCTTAAAAGAACTTTGTTTGAGAGATCCTGGAATCAAAGGGCCATATGTGCAGGCACAGAGCACAAGCACATGTATGCTGGTGGGCACTTGCATTGTTCACATATTAGTTCAATAGATGAGAGCCAGATACAGCCCAGAAGGGGCACAGACACATGAGCATGGATTTGGGATTTTTAAGTGATCAGCTCGCCATCAATATGAAATCTATGCAGTAAAGCTCCATACTGAACCTTTCTGCTACAGCCAGAGAAAATCCTTTAAAATGCTCTAATAAAAACTTCCTATGCATTCCATAGGTTTATTTTCTTAGTTTAATATAATCTCCCAGTATCTCTCTCTTCCTGAAGAGACCTTAAGTGGTACCCTATTTAAGGAATTAAGAATTCAGCTTTGCACGTTATGTCCAGGACAACCCTGCCTCCTGCATCCAAACCAGAAATACAACCG